GGGGGAGGGGGGGAGGGGGGGGGGTTGGAATTTAGAAATTTGAAATGAATTATTCCGATATAAGAATCGAATTTTCTAAATTTGCGCCTTTTAGAAAGAGTATTCCAACTTATTTTCGAAAAAGGGGAGTAGTGTCCTGGACCTTACGTCGTGGATCCTGTTCCATCTCTCTCTCTTAACCAGACCTAACCGCCGCTATTGGCTATTCTACTCAATGGTAGATTTGAGCTAATAGTAACGAGGAAATTTATGACTCTACTCTTGTAGTACACGTGTTCTTTACTACCGTGTTCTACCTTACTACTGCCGGGGTTTTCCCAAGACGATTAAACTTAAAATTCCATGTCATGAAATTCTATTTTTGAACCAAATAACCGCATACCCGAATAAGGGCCCATATGGGGAGAGTCAAGCTTCAGTCCCAAATAGTGAAAAGCTTTAGGATTGCATTTTAACTTTTAATTCCGAATAATCGCTGGTGGGGTCTTTAGGATAAGCTGGAAGTGGCTTTAATATTCTGATTTTTTCTTAGAGGCAGTTACCAGACAAAGATAAGTATAGCGCATTGAGTATATACTTGGAATTGAGAGCTCTTTACTGGAAAATTTGGGGTCAAATTGTGGTAAATCGTTTATGCTTAGCGACTTCCTAAATGAGAATGAAGAGGTGATCTTATGTGACATGGATAAAATTGTATATTGGTTATATATTTTCCTTAGCTATTTCTTAAAACACCTTTGGGATTGTTGTCCAACTGTTCCTTCTCCCAGGACTTCATCTTTAGTGTGACTCGACATTCCAATTCGACAACAGCCCCTTGCTAAAATTCCATCCCCTGAATAAATTTTGTGGTTAGTTATCTCTTGCATCATTTCCTTTCCTAATTCTTGGCATCTCTTCACGGTGGCTCATCTTCTTTTATCTCAACTTACACACCTGCTCTCAAGAGGCAGTAAAGTAGCGTCAAGAAACCAGAAGAGAATCCAACTTCATCCAACTTCCTATTTTTAAATTGAAATTCGTCAACTTATTCTTATGAAATATCCGGGCGTTATATGTTTCCAAATGATTTTGTAGCAACGATAATACTATTCGATCAAAATACGTGGAAATAAAGAAACTTTTATTCCCCATTTTCGCTTTATTCCCCCACTGTACAAAATAACGAGGTTGTAACAATATACATACTTCACAAATTACAGAATTTTATCTCTTGTAAGAACTATTGCACTCTTAGACTTGGATTTCGTTATGTTCCACACAGATAATACCAATTCATCGATGTCTCATAAGGGGCAAAGTAGCTATCTCTGCGAAATGACAGACGCCACAGTTTCAACACTTTTAATGGACTTGGTTCTCATGACGTTACATTGGCATTTGCTTTGTCAATTTAAATCCGAGTACTTTCACTGCTGTCGGATTATACTCGTCAATCTAGCGGAAGCAAGCCTCTGTACGCATTGGAATGGAATCAGAAGGAAATAGTCTATACATCCTACAAATTTGAGGTGACATTGGGATTGGCTTTTATTCCACGTGTTTTGTTATATCTGCAAATTAGCTTGTTATTTTTTCAATCTAAAAATCATATCAAGTATACGATTTGGTCATAGGGTGTGTATGTATGTGTGTGTGTGTGTGTGTGGCTTTCAGTAACACACAATTATTACAGAAAGGGAAATGTATTGTGAAATTTTCGGGATATTTGCTCTGGAACCAACGCCTACTGCATAGCTCTCTTTTCAATTCGCACCCTTCATGTCTTTATCATCTAGGCATATTCCTTTCAGTTAAAGCTCAGCTACAAAGGCGTGCGCCTGTGTGGAAGTGTTGTAGGCATTGGTTTTCAAGAGCGGAGATTTTCATTTATTTGCATTTATAATATCACACATTTTACTAGTCGGCTCGCACTCATTTGTTGTATGCAAATTGTACATTTCTTTTTCTAATAGCAAAGAAACGAGCTTACTCCTATATTTTGTCACTACATACATTTCGGCGCTATGAAGGTAGATTATTGTTGTCAGTGAGTAGATTGTAGGCATTTGTGGAATTTCGGTAGACGTTTCTGTTTACCAGATGACTTGTTATTTCACATTTGTAGTAGCCTTCATTCCTTCTTCCCCCTCCACTCTCCCCCCTCCCCCCTATATTTGTCATTGTCTCTGAAAATGTCACCTATCAAGGACTGATCTGATTTTTAGATTGATCGAATTTTTCCACCTTAACAAAAAGGAAGATAAATGCTTGCCTCTCCGTTCGTTTCCTAATTTGTCGTTGTATCAAGCTCTTACCTACTTGACTGTATTTTTCTCAGTATCCTCTAAAGTATACTATATCATTTTCGCCTTTCCTGTTGGGAAATGTTGAAATTTTCTTCCTGAAAGGAAGGATTTCCTTCAATATCGAGGAATGATTGTTGTCAACTCACTTCCTGTTGAGTAGGTAATTGGACTGATCGATATTTTTTTTCATTGAAGAAAATTCCCATTCATTCGCCTTTTCGAAGTGTCATATTTGCCAAGCTAGATTTAATTCGATTAATAACAAAAGAAATCGCACATTACGAGGTATTGAAAAAATATATGATAAATATGAGGGTTACCAAGTAAGAAATCGCCCTTTTTACGAACAGATGCGTGTGCTCAGTTGGCGAGCCAGATACAAAGAAGGAAACAATGATGTGCATTATTTTTTTCCCTTAGTAGGCAAATTGTTGAGCACAATTTATGGGCAATTAATTTCATTTTATTGCTAAGGCTTGAAAATCTCCAACTCCAAAGCAGACAGAGAACACGTGAGACATTGTTATGCCACCTTTATTTGTTCGGGATTAGAACACACCTGCAAGGCTAATAGGGTCATTGTTGGAATTTATGTGCAAATGCATGCTTTTCCCGTTCTTGTCAATTTTGGTTTTACTAGATTTAAATAAGACAATAATAGCTTGAATGATGCCCCATAATCAGGACGTTTTGCACATTTTTGACGATGATGTTTTTTTAAATCCATGGTTGAATCGAATCCTCGGTTGAATAAGGGAAATTATT